CCCTCCCACAGAGTCGCAGGAGCATCATGAGTGCTCCCGGACTCGGCATCGTCCTCACTGTCCGAGTTGAACTCACGTTCTACGAGCAAAGAGTTCTGACGATTGTCTGAAGATGAGAGCGACGAGCTGCGGCGCTTGCTTGCGCGCTTGTCCACAGCCGCGTCACCTGAGGAGCCGATCGCCTCGGAGGCCACCTGAGCAGCCATCTTTAAGTGCAGAGCCTTTGCCGTGAGACTTAGTGCTCTTTGCCCTGCGCCTTACCGGCTGCAGCCTTGGAGCGTGTCTTTAGCACCGCTCTTAGCAGTGCCACGAGGCATGTTAACGGTCGAAGTGGAGACCTAGACGAAGAGCGCACAGGTTGCTGCTCGAGGCTCTAGCTGTGAAGTGAGCCTCCCCCGCCGCTCGCGCGGCCAAGTCGATGGTTTTCGACTTTGAGAATGAGAGTTTGTGACGAACACCTCTTCATTCTGATTGGTCGGTAAACCGAACCTAAGTGGGGGAGGATGTAACGGGGTACGTAGCCCTAAGTGTACCCTGGTTACATGAAGTGTGACACTTCACACTTCAGGAGTATGACACGTCATACTCCGAGATATTTGGTACAAGGTACCAAGGTCGTTCAAAGCCAACCATTGGTTAAATGACATTGCATTTCTATAGGTAACTAGCAGTTTGTATTAAACCCAAACTTAACCTACCTATAAATATACTCAGTTTACAATCTACCTTATTTAGGTCACTTCGCTCTCTTTAATTAAAGAGTAGACCTGTGAACTGCCGTTCACTGAGAGTTTGTATACTCTCGGAAGATAACTTCCTCTAGCGCAAGGTGCTGTGTGACCCCGTCACAGCAAGAAATTCCACTTTGCGCTACAATTTCTGGAAAAGTGGTGTAGTAGGCTGATGATTGCAGATATGGAAAGGGTTTTTTCGTTAACGCCATACACTTCTATATGAAGGGACACCATACAATTTTTTAAGTATAAAGCCCTAAAAGGATACTTTAAATAGCTTTATACGGCACAAAATGCCAGAGGTTTCTGTCCAAATTCTATGTAATTGTAGAGGTTATATACAAAAACGGGACAGAAGAGTACCTCAGGTATTCTTTTGCAACACCATTTTTTCTGGTCAGCAATTGGCTGGTATCTCACTCAACTGCAATTTTCCGGTTTGTCACTTGCAGAATCATGTCAGTAAGTGAAGTACCGTGGGCTACACGGCCTCTAGAATTATGTGGCCCCCACACACTTCTCGCGCGCTACATCTACTACCCAGCAAAGCAGACACAGGATCTGAACAATCTGAGCAGGGTACACTCGCAGATGTCAACAGATGGAAACTTGCACAGTGTGACATCACGTACAAACCCACGGGGAAGATCGACGGTACGCAGGTCATGTTCATAAGTGCTATCTAACCTATATGCTCTGTCAGCTAACGATTATGATGCAGCTTTTACGAAAATGTTTATGTGGCTTCGTTGCGCCCGGGTCTCAAGCTGAGAAGCCCACAACTCCAGATTTTGCGAAAGCACAACGTGGTCATAAGCGACAAGGTTGTCGTATACCGCCAGGAAGTCACAGAGGAGGCGACTTACCGACCTGAAGGTATTTAAAGGCTGCGCGTTTTGCTCAGTGCTAGGCTCACGTCGAACGGATATTTTGCAAGGTCACCGACATCTGTGTCGCGCACTCG